GTAAACTAAAACAGAAAGAGAGTGACAGAGACAGAGGATGAATCTCCTTAACTTTTTAAGGCTAATGCTCTGTTGTAAGTAAATACCACAGGCTTAACCTGTAACTCACATCACTGGCTGTCTCAGTTCTTTTTAGCCCTTTGGAATTGGACTAAATATACCATCAGCTTTCCTGCGTCTACCACTTGCAGATATTGGGACTTCTTGGCCTCTATAATCATGTAAACCACTTCCTTATAATAAATTTCTGTCTTTACACACACACACCCTCCTGTTGACTTTCTCTGAAGTATATTGACTAAATACTGATTCTGAAACTGTTAAGAGGGGTGCTGCTGTAACAAATACCTAAAAAAGTAGAAGTGGCTTTGGAACTAGGTAATGGGTACAGGAACTAGAGGGGTTCTGAAGTGCATGCTAAAAAAAAGATTTATATGAAGGACTATTACAGGCAATTCTGGTAAGGGGTCAGAAGTAATAAAGCTACAGAGAACACTTCCATCTTCTTAGAGAAAATATAACTAAATGGTGAATTAAATACTGTTAGAAACATGGTTGGAAAGTCCATTCTGTTAAGGTCTCAGGTACAATAAAGAAAATTACGGATGAGGGAGAAAATATTATAAAATCACAAATAACTTGGTTGAATTATGTTTGTGTTCTAGTATTTTGTGGAAGGTAAAACTTGAGAACAACAGAATTGGATATTTAGCTAATAGATTTCTAAGCAAAATGGTGAAGGAGTAATTTGGTTTCTTCTGACTAGTGACCAAACTTAAAGATTAATCCTGTCTGTCCATGTTGCAAAAAGGAGAAAGTATGTTTGGAAGAAAATATCAAGGATATGGCTGACACAACATTTGGTAAGGAAGGTGGTTAGTGTAGGTATGGACTACAGATCTAGTCATCCCTCTCAACAGAAGCCAGGAGAAAGATGGAATAATAGAAGTAGAAACATGGGCGGTTGGGACTAAAGGAAACAACAGAAAATGGGGTAGGATGAAGGACAGCTGTGAAAGTTCATTATTCTTCCAGACAAAGGAAGAAGGACCCCAAAAGGTGATTCAGAGATAATTAGCACTGCTATCCCCACCATCAGCCCAGCATGCTGATGGGGGTGGAGGAATACGGCAGCTTTCACCTCAGTGAGAGCAGTTACGTGTTCAGGGCATTGCAGAAAGCTACACTTAGTGGTGACAATCCACTAAGCCAAAGGGGCAAAACTACAGCACAGAGCAGCGGGGATGATGCTGTTACCAAGTGAGTTTGAACAGCAGACTTTGAAGCTCAAGAGAGCTATTCTCAAGTTTTAAGATGTAATAGAAAAAACAAAGATGTAATGGAATTTGCCTTATAATAAGTTTTGGACTTACATTAGACCCATCACGCCTACTTCCTTCTGATTTTTTCCTTTAGAATTGAGAAGTACCTATCCTTTGCCTGTGCCACTTTTCTAATTTGTAAGCTTGACTTACCTGGTTTCAAAGATTCAATGAAGGACATGAATTCTGGTTTAGGATCAATCATACCTGGTCTCATTCATATCTAATTCATATAAAATTTAGATGAGACTTGAGACTTTAGAATTATTGGAACATATGAAGATTTTTGGGGATGTGGGATGAATGAATGCATTTTGCATGTGAGAAGAACATGAATTTTGGAGCCTAGGGGGCAAAAGGTTATGTTTGTATTGCCTTTCCTGCAAACTCATATAGCAAAGACTTACCCAACTATGTGACTTGGAGATGAGGCTTTGAGAAGTAACTAGAATTTTCACGTGGGTAGGATTCTCCCTGTCTTAGTTACTTTTCTCTTGCTGCTGAGACAAAATACCTAACATCCGAAGTTAAAGGAGGAAAGGTTTATTTAGCTCACAGTCTGTATAGGTTTTAGCCATAATCAGCTGGCTCTAAGGCAGAGTGGCACATGGCAGAGGGGCAACAGTTCTTGGTGGCTGGGGTGGTGGAAGACAGCAAAAGCAGCAAAAGCAAAAGGGAAGAGCTAGCCTCTTTTCGTTCTTCTATTGTAGGCAGGACATTCTCCCAATCCCAACACCAGACGATGAAAAAACTCTAGATTCAGCTGCCTCTGAAAATCCTGCTCCTCCCCATGACTGCAGGAGGCTTTGTGGGGACATTCAGACACAAACCATAACAGTCCCCAATGGATTAGTGTTCTTATAACAAGAGAAAGAGACCAGAGCTCTCTGCGTGCTATGTAAGGATACTAGAAGAAAGCAGCTGTCTACAAGCCAGGAAGGAGACCCTCACCAGGAACTGAAGTCTGCTAGCACCTTGATGTAGACTCCTCAGCTTCCACTCTGTGAGAAATAAACATCTGTTGCTTAAGCCCCCATCTAAATTTATTTTTGATAGCAACCTGAGCTGACTAAGCTTATTTTGCTATTGTTCTGTTGTAGGAATTCTTTGTATATTTTAAATATTAAACCCTATTATGATTTGTAAATATTTTTTCCATTCTGTAAGCTGCCTTTTCACTTTGTTGGTTGTGCCCTTTGATGTATAGAAGTGTTAAATTTTTATGTGGTCTAATTTATCTATTTTTTTATTATTGTTACTCGTGAACATTGGTTTTTAGAGGCATATTTGGTCTAATTATATTGAAAGATTATTTTTAACTTAAGACTTTACCAGCAAACGACATTTGGTTAAAATAAGAAATAACTAAAGCAATGTCTTTTTTAATTACCTAGAATTTGCCTTTAGTTCTAATGATCTGATGTTTCCTATTCAGTTTTCTCCTACCAACCACATTTGAACCCACAGACTGACAGGATGATTTCAGGAATGTTTAGTGAAAGGATTCAGTGCTGGTTTATTCTGGGGTAAATGACAGAGAATTGCCAGAACAATCTTTAGTATCCAAACATACAAAAAAAATCAACTTCTTAACAAACCATCTAGCTACAGAAGGGATTGTAAGAAAATATCTTTGCTTTGAGTTAAACTAAAGCCATTAAACTTAGAAATAACATTACAGACACACTGAGTGTAAGAAATTATAACAGGCTACAAATTATGATTTTTTTAAAAAAATGAGTGCTGCTAGTTTTTTTCCATATTTCTTATTTCTATAAGTGATCCTTTGCTTGTGAATAGAAGTTTACAAACTCCTCTGCTGGTCATATTAATGAATTATTGCCAACAATTTTAAAGAAAGATCTTTATAGCTCTTAATGGCTTGACAGTTAAGTGCTGCAAAATCAGAGAATGGACCCTTATCTCATTCTTATGTAATTCTTTTGAATGACAATTATCCCAGTGGATTCCAAGTTAATACATAAAGCTTCAAATTAACTCAGAAATCTTTAAATTTGACCTACTAGAAAATTTAAGAATCCCTTTGGAATCTTCTTTTCATTCTTATGGGAATAAGAGTATAATATTTATGGTAAAATTTCTTTGGATTTCTACCTTCTAGCCCAATGCAAAAGAAGGGCAACTGGTTATCAGGTCTTCCCTAACACAAGTGAGAAATTAAGCTTTCAACCAAAATGTATGTGATAACTAAGACAAGAAAAATATTACCAGTAACCTCAGTTACTGATGAAAGAGAACTATTTTTATTTGAAGTTATAATCTACAAGAGGAAGGTATACTGTATATCAACAAATACCTGGTAATCATTAAGAAAGCATTTCCTGGGCCAGAGATATAGCTCAGTGGCACAGTGCCTGCCTGGCAAGCACAAGGTCCTGAGTTCTATTCCCAGTTCCCACCTGCTCCCCCTGCAAGGAAGCATTTCCTTTAGCCAACTTTTTACAATGAACAAGATTATTGTATCCATTCTCTGTACCATTCAGATGGGTCATTAATGAGTTCAGTGGATAAAAGTTTGGTTAACATTTAAATGACCATCTAGAATGTACCATGGATCTTTCTTGAACAGAGTTGTTTTAAAAAACCATTTAAGTAAGACAACAGAAATTTGTTTTTTTTGCAATCCTGGTTTTGGGGGTTGAACTCAGGGCCTTGTGCATGCTAAACAAGTTCTGTAGAGCTGCATATGTGCCCCAGAAGGGTTATTTTATACTTTCTAGATTTCTCTCATAGTTTTTTTATTGGTAGGGGGTATTAATAACAACAACCCACTCTTCTGTCAAGGGTGTATGTAGGGGTTGTTGTATTTTAAAAGACTGGGTAGGTTAACCAGTATACCCTTTGATAAGTACAAAATGAGATACTTAATCTATAAGATTTGCCAAAATCTATAAAAACATATGATAATTGTAAATATAAAACTGAAGCTAGGCATAGTGGTGCATGCCGCATGCCTGTAACCTCAGCACTTGGGATGCTGAGGTAGGAGCATCATTGTGAGTTTGAGGCCATCCTGGGCTACATAAGTGAGTTCAAAGCCAGCCTGTACTATACAGCAAGACCATGTCTCAAACCAAACCAAACCAAACCAAACCAAACCAAACCAAACCAAACCAAACCAACCCAACCCAACCCAACCCAACCCAACCCAATTCAACCCAACCCAATCTAACCCAGCCCCTGAAGGCTGATAATGTTCTTCAGTTGACACTTTCCTAAAAGGTAAGGACAATTTGTTTCTTTATCACCCAAGGTAGCTTCTTAGAGAGTGGTTAAAACTAAGTCAAAACCGGTCTTTCTGCAGCTTGTTTTGGGAGGGGAGCTTTGGCGATTGAACTCAGGGTCTCTCCCTCACCAGAAATACAAACCAAAATTTATGTTTCTCATGAGACTAGCTAGGTACAGTTCATGTCCTAACGCAGGGCCTTGAACAAGCTAAATAAGCACTCTACTACTGAGTCTGAACCCTTTTTAAAAAGCAGCCTATCATTAAAAAGTTTTCTACATCAGTCACTGTATTCTTGAAGCAGTCTTATTTTTGAAAGAACAATGATACATCTTGGAAAACCAGGATTAAGCTAATTGGACAAGACTGAAAAAGATTTGAAGAAGAAATAGTAAGTATAAAAGCACTGAGGATATAATGAAAAGACATACCTTCTGGGCTGTGACCGGCATTCCTCCTCCCCACTGTCTGCCTCCTGAATAGAGAGAAGATGAAAATTAAAACCTGAAGTTTCATATCACAATATTACTAATGGAATTTTACTAAGCTTTATATATTTTACTAAGCTCACAAAAATTTTATTACTAACAAAGTGTTACTTATTAAAACAATGACTTCTGAAAACTAACTGAACACATTATACTACTCTTATACTACTTCCACTGAGCACCAATAAATCTCATCAAGATGTCTTAGGATTCCGATCCTCAAAGAACAATCTAAGCAATGAGCACAACTTCTGAGTGCTTATGACCAAGTCACCAACACCATCAACATAATGGTTACCACTTACAATGTGGCAAGCATTGTGCACAACATTTTAAGTGCACTGTCCTACTTATTCTCCATAAACTCAGAGGGTAAATGGTATACATTTTTTATTTGAATGTACACATAACAAAGGACAAATCACTGTAATTAATAAAACACTGAATCACACTTTAAGTAAAATTTTTTTGGTTTTGTTTTCCAAGACAGGTTCTTGCTATGTAGTCCAGGTTGGTTTCAAATTCACATCCTACTGCGTCAGCCTGTAGAGTGCTAAAATAAGTTATATGCTACCATGCCTGACCACAATTTTTGTATTTTTAGTGGGACTAAACTAATAGTCTTATAATTTATGGCAATTTAAACTCAGTGAATATTTTACAGATGAAGAAACCAAAATTCACAAAAAGCAAGTAAGTTGCCCAAGCAAACTCATGTGATGAAGGTAGAATGAAGGCCAGCATATACTTCCTAACCTATTGAAAATCATATACTTCTGCCTGACCGTGGTTAGCAATTATTATACATTACTGTATTATACAGCTTTTCACAGAGACAAGAATATTGGCATGAAGGGAAAGTGACAAAAGATGATAGAATGACACAGAGAGGCTAACTTTTAAATTTGCTCTCTGAATTTTATATTTGTTCTCCCATCACTTCTGTCTTACCTGGCATATATAGAAGTAGGAGGAGAAAAATAACCTCAAATAATATGTGTACTGTCTGTCAAAGAGTCATCTACATTCTCTAGTTTATAAAGCCATCCCCATCTACCTCTGGATAATTTTTTTTTATATTCCTGGGCAGCCAAGCCAGTTCTATAAATTTCCCCCTGTTATTCCCAATACTGATTTTAAGGATGCCTATTACTTTCTCCAAAGAGAATACCACAAAGATTCTACTCCCAGAGGAAGTGCAGGTGTAAGGTGTTATAGTGCTTTACATTATCTGCCTGTAGGGAGATTTTAGATTCAAAAGGTATGCTCTTTAGGAACTCAAAAAAGGTGCTAAAATAGAAAAGAAATGACTGTCTCAGGAATCAACAGTGAGAACCTGGAAGAATGAAAAAAAAAAAAAAAAAGACTCAGATGAGCAAAAATGAATTTTGTTTTTGTGCCCAAGGGAATTCTAATATATAGAAATTATTTCCTGGGATGTCATTTAACAAATAGTGCTTCATTGTTATTACTGATTAATAGATCTCAAGTTCTGATGTAGTTCTGTCACATTATTTTTTTAATAGTACAAAGTATTATATAATGAAGAATGTATCTAACATATATTGAAGTTACTGAGGCACAATAATAAAGTGAAAATCTGTAAACACCATTCCACCTAAGAGCTGGAATAGTATCAGTAACTACACTTAGTTCCCATTTCCCATTCCTTTCCTATTCTTATGATATGACTACAATCCTAAAGTTTATCATTTTCTTGACTTTACTCATTTTATCATAAAAATTTAAACATACCACAAAGTTGAAAGACCTCATAGTGAGCCTGTATGATTACCACCTGGATTCTACCATTAACATTTTCTATACTTGCTTTATCACATATCTACTCATTCTCTCTGTTCCTCCATCAACCCATTTATTTTTTTGATGTATTCCAACATTAAATACTGACACAAGTATACTTTCCCTTAAAGGCATATAACTAGAACTATAGTTCTTTTTTTTAAGTTCAAATTTATGTACACTAAAATGCATAAATTTTAAGTACACCATCCCGTGAATTTTGACAAATGCATATACTTGTGTAACTCAAACTGCTATCAAAAAAGGTATCATGTAGTATATATTCTTTAATAGGAGGCTCTTTTCACTCACAGTATTTTTGAGACTCATCTATGCTGTTGCAATAAACAGTAGTCTTTTTTATTACTGAGGATTCCATCATATGGATATACTACAGTTTATTCACTCTCCTATTTATAGGTACACATAGGTGGTTTGAGTTTTTTCTGTTATGCATAAAGATATTATATAAAAATAACTTTGGGGTATTTTCCTTTTTTGTGGGCATATATTTTTGTTTCTTTGGGTCATGAATTATGCATTTGTGGTTTTACAGAACATTGCCAGGCCTTTTTCCAAATTGTTCACACCACCTCATACTTTCATCAACAATGAATGAATTACAACTGAAGTTTAATTAGCAGTTTTTGCTTCTATGGTTATTGTTTGTGTTCTCAGAAACCTTTGCCTACCTTTAGTCATAAAGGTACTCTACCATATTTTCTTACAAAAGCATTATGTGTTTACAGATAATGTCTATGATTCCAATTAAATTAATATTTGTATATAGTATAAGGTAGAGGTACAAATTCATTTTTCCCATATGAATAAATATCCAGTCTTAAAACACTATTTGTTGAAATACTTTCCTTTCTCCATAGTATTATTTGGTTTGTTTCTAAGAAATAAATCAACAGTGCTATGGTTAGGATCATAAATGTTCCCTCAAATGTGGTGAGGGCTTGGTCCTCAATGTTGCAAAGTTTAGAGGTGGGGTTTTTGGGAAGTGAATGGATCATGAAGGCTCTGATATCATCAATGGGTTTACCCACTGATGGGCTCAGAACTGAATGGATTCTTGGGAGGTGGTGGAAACTATAGGATGGAGGTGGGTCCTGGGGGGCATTCCCTGGAAGAATGTATTTTGGCCCTGTCTCTCTTTTCCTCCCTCCCTTACGGTTTCCTGGCCACGATGAGGTGTGCAGCTTTCCTCTGCCATGCCCTTCTGCTATAATTCTGTGCCCTACCACAACCCGTTAACAGTGGAGCTAGCCAACCATCAAGTGCTGTCTCTAAAACCATGAACCAAAGTAAAGTTTTCCTCTTGTCAGTTGATTTTTCTCAGGTATTTTGTAAAAGTAACATAAAGCTAACTAACATAGTTGGTCTCAATGAAGGCTGATTTGTCTTCTCTACATAATTCCATAGATCAGCTAGCTGTGAATCGTTATGCTAATATCACACCAACTCAATGTTTGTAGTTTATAGAAAGTTTTGACAGAAATATAAATCCTTTATTTCATTTTTCTTTTTCAAGGTTGCTTTATCTCTAGTAAGACTATTTGTCTTCATGTGTACCTTTTCTGATATTAATATAGCTACTCTAGGCTCATGCTCATTATTTGCAAGACATATTTTAAAATTCCTTTGTATTTTTAAGAATGTCTCTGATAAACAAAATATAATTGGATCATACTTCATGCTATCCATTGTGACTATATTTGCCTTTTAATTTTAGTCTTTCTCCCATAACTACTAATGTAATTACTGATATAATTAGATTTGAGTCTACTATGTTACTATTATTTTCAGTTTGTCTCTTGTACTTTTATTTCTCTGTTCTTCCTTTTATGACTTCTTTTGTATTATTTATATTTTAGGATTTCATTTTATCTATTAATTTGCATTATTCTTATTTCCTCATTTAAAAAATTAGACATCTATAGTCTTACTGTATTATTTAGTTTTGATTGGGAGCTTTTAAAAATTGTACTGTACTATGTGTTATCTTCTCAATATGCTTTTAAAAAACTAAACATTATGCTAGCCAGATTCATCCATTTACTACATATAGTTTTAGTTCACCCATCTTTACTTGAGAATCCAAGATTTTATTTCTGTGAATGTATCAAAGATTATTCTTTCTTCTTATATAGTGAAGTTGAGCATTCTCTCATATGTTTATGGGCTACTACAAGTTTCATACACTTGCCTTCATTCCTAAAATAAGCATACCAAGAAAGGATACTTCCAATTACTTTCATCTCTTTGGTAGATTTTTCTATTAATGACAATTATAATGGCAGTAGAGCAGGGAAAACCACTGATATCCTTGATGCTTCCTTATAGCTCACAAATAGCCAAAACCAGTTATGTTTACAGCGGTGAACTTACATTTGTTGAGTACCACTATGTGCCAATATTTTATATGTTATTTCATTTAATGCACACCACAACCCTATGGAACTTACACAAAGCAAATTAAGTAGTAGTCAGCATTTGAACCAGGGAAGTCCTTCCTATCTGTTATAACTAACTGTAGCTACACTAAAGATTTGATTTTATATTCCAAATTGGGATGTGGGGGAGAGCTGAAGAACACATATCGTTTTATAAAAAAAATACCTTTTATATTTTTCCTCTCAGACTTCACAAGTTAAAGTAGTGCTGAAAGAGTTGAAAAGTCTCTTGGTACATAAATAAATGTTTCTAACACAAGATGCCCAAATGCAGTAATTCTTTTCTTAATGTTTTAATAGCCAGGCAAGTGAATCATTTGCTTTCCTTTCAATTTACTTGAAACAATAAACCTAAAGGTGAGAAAAGGAGGCAGAAAATATTTCATATATCAAACAGGGTAAAATGGAATTAAAAGAAATGAAGAAAATATGTGCGTTTATTTCAGCAAAATTCAATGTCAGAAATGCAAAGATACAATACTGCTTATTCACTAAGAATATCGGGGAGTAGAGTTATCTTGAAGAATGGCATTCATATGATAGCTGAAGAATGCTTACCATTCTAACAAGTGCAGCTCCAAGATACAGCCACCTACTTTGTTACATAACTTAGCTTTTCACAATATTACAAATTACCAGGAGAGCCGGGCGTGGTGGTGCACACCTACAATCCCTGCACTCAGGATGTTGAGGCAGGAGGATCACTGTGAGTTTGAAGCCAGCCT